GAACAGCTACAGGCCTGGAACTAAGCCTTTCTGAAGGCACCCACCACCGTTCCCCTTGGCTCAGTTCCGGCACAGAGACTGCAACAGCACTGTCCCTCCTTTCTCAGAAGCCCCAAAGCGGATTAGAGGCGCACTGGTGAAAAGGCCTTCAGGAAATATCTGCTGGCTGTCTCTGTTCCTTCTCTATTTTTATTTTCTCGGTTAAGAGTATCCTCCCAGGGCCCAAGCCAGAGGTTTCAGAAAATTCTCTGGCTCCTTCATCTCTCCATTTTATTTCTGTACCTATTAGTTGCCAAGTTTCATAGATTCTATCTCCTCTCCATTTTTTCGGCCTTATTTCAGACCCTCGGAGATAATAGCTTAAAGGGCAGGAAAACACAAAGTGCATTCAGAGAATTATCTTCTTTGAGACTCAATTTTCTTATCTTTAAGCTGCTTTATATACTCACAGAGTTGTGCGAGGATCAGAAGAAAATGTATATATGAAAGTACTTGAAAGTTTAAAGCACTATAAGATATAAGATGAGGCCATAAATCATGCATTTGTCGAGTGTTACCTTGGAAATGGCTTTCAATAACTGGGCTCTATTTTTCTGATCTATGCAATGAGTGGTTCTCTAGTAGGTAAACCTTAGAAATTGTTTTCTAGCTCTGTTATTTGAAAATTCATCAGTATTCAAAACACAACTTTTTTTGAATTATAATTTACAAACATGAGTTGGATATAAAAGACTTTACGCTGTTTTGCATCAAGAGAGCCCCTGGGAGCACCTATCCCCCGAGGAAGCACCATCCAGTTTGGCTGCTGGACAGCCCTCTGCACTGGACCAATATGGTGTTTTCCTTGAAATTACAGGCTGATTTCATTCATTTTCAAGAAAATTTCTGCCAAATACCCAAGTCTGAATAACCAGTTTACCTGCCAGTTGTTCTTTTAAATAAAAGGGTGGGTCTATAAAAAGTCTAATTCAGTTGGCAACTCAGGCATATGGAAGTGTTTAATGCATACTTCCAGGTTTTGTCACACAGAATATTAGAAAACATGTACTCAATGATCAAGATTTAATAAAATTTACTGCTTCATTGAGGCCTTTCTGAAGTAAAGTTGACTTTAAAAAACACCTGAGGATGCTGGTAAGGCTACAATGACCACTAGCCCCGACTCGGGCCGAGAAGGCAGCAGCTTCTGCGTAACCCACACAAAATGTCAACGGATGGGAAAGGCAAGTGGTTGTTTAGTATTATCATGAAAATGGCTTTGACCTCACAGGCTCCTCTCAGGCACCCCCCAGAGTCTGCAGACTAAGCTCTGAGAACCGCTTACCTGGAACAGTATGTGGCAAGTGGTAAAATCTTAATAAATATTAGTCACAATAAGAATAAAACATTATTGTTCTTTTCATTATTACTGCCACTGCTGGTATTTCCGCCGAGAATAACGTGAGCAAGTCAGTGCCCATTACTAAGAAATGTAAGGCTGATTGTTCTTGGATAGCTTTTAGGAATACAGATCTTTGAAATTAGAAATCTCTATTTATAATAAAATGATTATTATTATTAATAAAACATGTACTTACATATGAAATACCTGTTAAACATTTACCCATAGACAAAAAGAAAGGAGAACAGGGCAGAAAAGACAGGATAAGCGAGGGGGTTTGTGGAAGAGAAAGGAGGCTGGCAGGAGAAAAGCGGGGGCAGAGGAAGGCTGAGGGGAGGAGACTGGGGGGGAAACAAAGTAAACTGAGCACCCACGGTAAGGAAACTTGGCCTGGGACCACAGGGCCAAGTGTAACAGTAACTGTGCTTAGATGAAACAACGCGCTGCTTTCAAATAGAGCCAGCAGACAACTGAACCCTCAGGCGCTAGGAGGTCTTCAGAAAGCGAGTCCTTTGGTAAGTCAGACGTTAGAGGAAGAAGCTAAAGATGTGCGCTCGGAAGGTATCTGAAGGCATCAGAACACGTGTATGCACACACCGCCCCATGCACCTACCCAGGACATCATTTTGAAAGACCTTACTTGTCAATGATTAAAGCATAGAGATTAGGAAGAGATTGGTTTTGAGGAACAGATTAAAGAAATAAAGTGGGAGTCACTATAGTCAGGCTGCTAAATTACTAAAATCAAGTAGGTTGAGGTATGAGGAAATTATTCTATTCTTGTTTTAACTAGCCTGGGAACTTAAACTTTTGAACTTCCCAGTCCTGTGCCAATGCCTGGACCTCCAGATAACCCTCTGAGGGACTCACTCTCCAGACCACCAGGTGTGACCAGGCCTCCTGGTGGGCATCTTCTGGACCACCTGGCATCCACCATTCAACTGCCTGACATCTGATTGGTAACCATCGCGGACCAACTCTAGGGCTGAGAATGCAGGACTCATTCTTCTCAAGGGTGGGGCTTCTAAGAACTCTTAATTTCTCTTTCTTCTTTGCTGGACTGTGTAAATGTCAACAATGGGAGTGAATGAGAGTGATCGGGGCCGTTAACAAAATTTTCCCTTAGTTGGCACACCTACCCTGAATCTCAGTGAGGGGCTGAGAAGCTGGTGATATTTTATGATGGGATTAAGCCGCTGGCCTCTAGCAGCGATTCTCATCAGAGTTCAGCAAGTATCAGAATCAGCGGGAGTTTGTTAGAACCGGGATTACTGGGCCCCTCCCTCAGATTGTCAATTCCTGGGTGGGGTCCCAGGACCTGCATCTGTAACCTGTTCCCACGGACGCTGAGCTGCCGCTGGTCCGGGAACCAGGCTCTGAGGACCACCGGTCTGCCTCAGGGCTTGGCAAACTTTCTGTGAAGAGCCAGGTGGTAAACAGCTAAATCCTGGACTTCGGCGGCCCTAGATGGCCTCTGTTGCGGATTCTTCCTTGTTTTGTTGTTGTTGTTTTTGGCAATCCTTTAAAAGTACAAAAAAACATTCTTAGCTCCAGGGCTGTACAAAAACAGCACTTCGCTGACGGGCAGTCTGGTGCGGAGAGGGAAGACGCTCCCCTGCTCCAGCGCCTGTCCTTCAAGAGCCGGACTCCCGCGGGCTATCAGAGATAGGGTCGTAGGTGGCACACCTCTCTGCTCATCTCTTCAGGTCTTCTTTCAACGTTCTTTAATAACATGTTCTGATTTTTATCCATAAAAGAAAAAGTCATACATTCCTTCTGTTAGATTATTATGCAGTTCAGAGATTTTTGTGTTGCTGTCTTGAAACAATAATGACAGACTGGAAAACCTCATACCTATTGTTTTTCTAGCCATATTGATAACTAGCCCATTTTATACACTGTAGAATTATAAAATAATGGTGGAGATCATTGTCTTTATGGGAGTTACTTTGAAGTTTCACAATTAAACATGACATTTACTGTAGGTTTTTGAAAGTACACTTAAAGTTGAGAAAGTTTCCCATGTTTGCTAAAAGTTTTGTTTGTTTTTCATAAAGTTGAATTACAGCCAGTGTGCTTTCTCTCTGTCGAAATAAACATTTTCCCTCATTTAATTTTGTTAATGAATATATTATGTTTGTATTGACTTAAACAAATATAGAAAAGAGAAAAAGAAACAAATACGGTTACCTAAAGAGGGAAGAAAAAGGAGTGAAGAGACACAAGAGACAAAAGACACTTTTCAATGTTTATCTTCTTTGATTACCGAACTGTACCTATTCAAAAATTACATTGAGAAGCACTATGCTAATGTGATAAATTCCTCTGCTGAAATTCCTGCTTATGAATCATCTTGCATTCCTGGGGCTAACAACCCTGCTTGCATCTTATGTGTACACCTGCGACTTCACGGTGGCAGGGAGGTGAGAATCAGAGATCTGTGACTACCAGCCAAATTTCTTTAATAGTCACTCATCTCCTTAGGACTTTTTTTACTTCTCAGACACAACTTTAGGTGATTTTTCTTTCCTCCATAAAGTTTAACACTTAATCTAATTTTATTAACTTAATCTGATAAAGCTGAACATTGTATTACCTCTTATGCTTTAAAAAATCCATATCACATGTATATATAATTATATCTGCTTTAATTCCTAGTGTATTCTTTGCCTTCTCCCTTTCATCTTAATTGGCCATCCTAGGTTTGTCTATTTTACAAGTCCTTAAAAAAAACCCAGCTTGTTTATTATATCTACTATCTTTTTCTCCTATACCATTAATATCTGCTCTTATCTTATTTCCTTCCTTCTACTTTCTCTGTATTATCTCGTGTTCACTTTGTAGCTCTTTGAATTGAA